TTTATTTATTTTTTAAATTTTTTTTTGTATGTTAAGGAATGTTTTAAAAAGGGTATTATAAAGGGATTAAACAGATTCAATTTTAAAGAGTTTCAGAAGTTATAAAGAGATTAAGAGGATTTTACTAGCTGAGACCTAAAGGACATTCTAATTAAATAACAAAAAAGAGGAGGGGGAGAAAAAGTAACGAAATTACTCTTTATGGGAAATTAGACATTATATATGAATATGGAATCGATAAAATTGTGTGTGTGTGTGTGTGTGTGTTTTTTTTTTTAATATAATTTGACAAAGTTAAAAATTTTTGGTGCTGCTAGTTATTGATAAATCAGTAACGTTTCTACATTCCAAATCCGATAATTTATCGGAATTTTAGCACTCAAAAGCAGGGTAAGGCCGGTAGCTTATACATTACTTGAATGAAAGGTGATTTTTTTTTCTTTTTTAGCTTCTTTCATCGCTACCTAGACCTTGTCGCGATCATTACTACATTGAAAAGATAACTAAATTTAGCGGAAATAAACAAAGATTGTATTGCCTTGTCTAATTATCGATTTTTGGAGCTTATAGATTTAAATTCGCAGAGATTCCGTTAAAGATAGGAGAAGGCAGCCCGAAGGTACTTCTTTTGTATAGGTCGTTGCAAAAAAAAAAAAGAAAATAATAATAAAAAAATAAAGTAAAATCTCACCGCTTATCAGTCGACTTCACAATCGCCAGGAGACAGGTATGCCAATTAATCGATTGTACAAACTCGACCATTAAGGTATTACAGAACTTGGCAAATGTAAATTTCTATAGTTTTGATGTTGATAACTTTTCAAATTACATTAACTTTAGTATTGTTAAGATCTATTTAAAATAATTTAATGCTTTCAGTTCACAATAGTCGCCTTTTGTCCTTTGGGAAAATTAAAGGAAACGTTGTTGAACATTAATGGATACTCGACTGTAAAATTTTGCCAATTCGATAATAAAGATCCGAATTTGTTCCATGTTTACGACGTCATTTCCATCTTAAACTGCGAATGTTACGGAAATAAAGGTTTAATATTTGCTATATCTGTCCGCTTACATTATTGATTCGTTTTAATGTGGGTCAAAGATTCTGGCTTTTTTTATGTACCCCGATGCTTTACTTTACTCCAAATATGAAATGCAGCGTGTCAGAATTGAGCTCGTTTTAGAAAAATATGTGTACTCCTTTCTTTTACTTTTATATATATATGTATGTTTTTTTTTTTGTTTTGTTTTGTTTTGTCTGTAGCATTCCTATTTCACATTATTAAATGATAGACTGCAGTCTTCTTTGTTCCCATCCAAAACAGTATAAACTACAACCCAGACAAGAATTCCAATGTATTATTACTTTTTTAATACGTTATATCTATTAAATTCAATATTTACAGATTTATTAGATTTATTTTATTTTATTTTATTTTTATTTGCTTCATTCAATTAACTGCTGGATGCGCGTTTAATCTACAGCATTCGGTTTGGTATGTGCCACGTAGGAAAGAGGGAAAAATCTGCTACAGAATAAAACTAGATGCTAAGATTTCGGTAATAAAAATACTTATAATTCTATCAAGTATAAAATTTTTACCGCCAAACTTTATTTTAGTATAGTTTACAACTCGTGCGATTCTTCGTCTGGAAGGTATATCCCAAGAGAGCAGCTGAAGAAAGAAAAGGACGTATAACTAACCTGATTCACGAAAGAGAAAAAGGGGGAAAAAAAGGAAAAAAAAAAAGAATCCTTTCTTTAATCAAATGGAAGGAAATGAAACGGGAAAATGCGTAAATTTCTTTTTGCTCAGAAAACTATTTACCACTAGATGGACATTATACGAAAACATTATTAAACTTATTTCTTACCGAGGGGAGAGAGAAAAAAAAAGGAACACTTATTGTTTATTTTCTCTCAACACGACCTATTTTCAGCTTAGCCTGGAAAAAAGAGAGAAAAAAGAACATAAAATTATCTAAATTTGAATACATAACTAGTTCTTTTGGTGATAACACGAATCGTCACGGAAAGAAAAGTGGAGAGTTATATAAGGCACATTTTTAAGTTGGAATAGAAAATGGTGTGTAATACACGGCAACGTAGTGGACAAAATTTTAGATTTATTACATGGAAAATGTGGCAGATAAGCATTTTCGGCAGTGTAATTTGCATTCATTTGATTTTTCGATGTCTCCGAGTCTGAATTATTCAAAGAAAAAGCGTACCTCTGCTGTTGAATGGGAGTGAGTAGAGGGCTTAGCTTTCTCCAGATTCTTATTACCTCAGAGAAAGGTTTTCAGTTGGAATAATATCAACGACTTTTCAAAATCTACCTATAACCAGAGCTCTAAGTTGTAACAGCCTAAGGAACAGCGTCAACGTTTGCTTCTTACATTAGATGCGGCACGAGAAAGGGGAAATTGTTTGAATGGGGAAGAAACGAGAAAAAAGTGACGAGAATAAAAAAAAGATAAGAATTATCGTTCTCAAAGATAGATTTTCGTGTTGTTAAGAGTCGTGGTTGTGATTCCTTTTCTTTCTGACGGTTTCAGAATTTTTTTTTTTTTTTCTTACTTTTAAAATAAAACTTATCCCTTTTCCTTATTCTCTGATGGAGAATTTTGGAAAAGTTTAGTTCCACTGCAGTGCAGAAAAGAAATTCTTGGATGGGAATCACCAGAATTAGTTTACAAACTTTCTTTTTTCTCCCCTTCTCCTATTTTTTCCAAGTTAATTTAAAATTTATTATTACTATATTCATATAGACACAAACATGTATACAGAGTGCATGCACAAAAGTACATACATATATACATCCACTCTATTTTCTTTTAATAAATTATTAATGGATGCTAGCGAATCTACTGTTTTTCTTATTTAATCGATATTTTCTTACGAATTTAAAAAAAAAAAAAAACAGGTTTCTTTCTGATTAAATAATAAATTTTACAATTTAAAATTTTGAAATGGAAAATAACGGTCAGAATTGTGAAATTTACATAGAAACGGCGTGTTAATTTCAATTTTTGAAATGGAAAATAACGGTCAAAAGTTGAAATTTACAGAAAACGCCGTGTTAATTTCAAGTTAAAAGTAAAGGAGATCAAAATAAAAGAAGAAAGTCAATTAAATTACGCCGTTGTTCTTTCTAAATGTAATATTTAAGAATTTTCCAGCCTTTCAAAACTTCTCTTCTTTAATTACATACATTTTTTTCTTATTTTTTAAGGGTTCTCTCTCACATGTAAAAATCGAATCGAAGTTTGATCGGTTCTGGCAACTGAAGCTACAGAAGGCAGTTTTGTACGCTGCAAAAACGTTGTAAAAAGATTTCTTTTTAGAGCGAGAGGAATGGAATGGGGAAGTTTTATGTTACAAATAACCTCTCCGATCGATTCTTAAGTTAATGAGTATTCTATCCTGTCGAACTAATAAAATTGCGCGACGGAAGTGGAATTAAAATACCGTCTGGCGATAAAAACTCCCGACAGGGGGCGTTAGCTTTCGATTCCCGGAATGTGCCATATGATAAACCAAAAGAGGGGCGATGGGTTTGTTTGCAAGCTCGACAACGTTTCCCACTTTACAACTCTTATACGTATTTTTGCCCATTTTCTTGCATAAACCGCTTATAGATTTTCAGCGTTTTTCTTATATTCCTTCAACAGGTTCAATTTTATAACTGCTAAATTGCTTAATACCGGAAGAGTGAGAAACGGGGTTAAATTCTTTTTAAAATGTATGCAATCCTCGAAAAAAAAAACAATACAATTCGTTTCCTAAATGTTTCGGGTCATCCTAAACCCTTTATAGAATACAAATATATCTTTATCTATACAAGAGCCCACACGGGGTTTAGCGATTAAGTTGTTCTCTTCCTCTTCCTAAATGATTCGGTATATCCTGTGCGAAAGGGAAGAAAGTTTTTGCTCAAAATGATGGACATAAAATTTCCATAAAACAAGAGGATGCTCCAAACGCGCGCGCTCCGCGTTTGAATTCACCAACCCATAATATCTTGGTTACTGCATAATTCCGAAATGAGGCTATCGGGTATCATTGTTGCCAAACGGCAGATAGAATAGCGGAACAACAAGTCGTAACATTCGAGGCATATTTAGGAGAGCATCAACGTTATAATTATCGGTATCTCTCCAACGATATATGATCTGGAGGAGATTATTGCCGGAAACGTTTCGACGTCACACCAGCTACAATATCTACACAACAGGATTTGTAACGAGCGGGATAAATCACTTAAAGACAAAACTGGAGATTCTTAACGCGTTCATTACAGCTTAATGGCAGGAGAAAAAAAAAGAGAAGGGGGCAAAGAAACTGCGATGTGGGCGAAACTATTCCTAAAATTAAATTCGGAGCAACTTTCCTAGATGCTTTTCTAACCGAATACCAGAAAATAAATTGGGCTTAGAGATTCCTAACTGCGAGTTAAATCTATGGAATAATTTACAAAATTGCTATGTTTACAAGAGATATAATTCCATTAAAGTAGATGCAGGCCCTAGATAATTTATTTCATCGTGTATCTTGTCTTATGCCTCTTGAAATTACTGGAGGACGCACTGGCAAACAAATCTACAAATAATTTAAAACTCGGTTAGTTTAGATAGAAGAAATTTAAAATGAAAAAAAGAAGAAGAAGAAGAAGAAGAAGAAGAAGAGGTTATATCGTTGCGTTTATGCACTAACATTACATGAATAAAAAATCGAGCAGATGTTCTGACTATTGAAGTAAATACTTAGCTTGCCACAAAGCCGTGTATTTACTCAATAAATGGAGTATCTTGTTTATTTTATTTATTTATTTATTTATTTTTTGACCTACTGAAGTAGAAAAGAAAAATGTTCGTCCAAAGAATTTGTACTTTGAAATATTATAAATAAAAATATTTATTACCTTTAAAAACTTGTAAAAGAGATTTTTGGAATTCAAAATGACGGAATATTTATTTAAAATAAAGAACACGGATAGAACATCTTTCGGATAACGTATCTAAGCAATAAAAATCTGGTTCTTTGCCAATTTGCATCCGACTAATGTAATTCATGCTCAGTCTGGATCTCCAAGCGATCCCAAGACAATTGGTGGATTGATAACAAAACTATTTAAAAGGACACGGCTACTCTGGAGAGAAAATATTTTTTCCTCATTCAACAAATCAATGCTTACTCCCGTAAGATACTTTATGAACAATACGTATTTACTTAGCCATTGTTTCTAAAATTTTTCTCGTGTTTCCGTGTGTCTAGAACAACGTTAAACAGAAACAGAAGTTGATTCGGTGCTACAGAAGGAAGTGGATCAGTTAGGATAAAGCGAATTACACTTTATGAATCATTCCGCTAAAGCCAGGAGGAAACAGAAGAGGATGGTTCCACTCCAGCGAAAATTGGGAAAGATCAATCTTTTCATAAATTTTATTATTATTATTATTTCCTTTTTTTTTTAAATAGTTCGAAAACCAATTTAACTTCGATAGAGATCGTGTAAGCGTGTTTAAAGAATGAGAAAGAGAAAATAAGTGGTCTTAATGCTGTCGTCGGATCTAAATCAGGCTTGAATACCAAGCGAGCGTGAAAATGTCTTTTGTTCTCATAGAGAACCGTAGAGTAGTTTGAAAATTTCCAAACCAGCTTTGTTTTATTCATACAAAAGGGCGTGCACGATGTACGTGGTTAGAATTGGCCATTTCTCTCAGTAAATTGGCAACATCAAACTACTTCTCGGTTCACTCTAACACGTGCGTGATAGGCTTCCCTAAAATTCGTGGTCGTCGTTAAATGCGAGTACCGCTACCTCCTTTTCATTGCTCGTATCCTTTAAAAAGATAAAGGGAAAGAGAAAAAAAAACAATCTTTCTAAATATAAAAATTTGTGTCCTCACTTTTTTCATTGTTGGTTGAGGATTTTGAGATTTATGGAAGCTGAAGAAAAAGAGGGAGAAAAATGAGAAAAAGAATTAATTTTCTTTCATAAAATTGAATTATACTTGTCGGCCATCTTGTAAAAATTCCACTTTTCCAAATTCGGATCTCGTATTTATTAATGAGGGTGGTGTAGTCCGTAATTATTATTAAGAGAACTCTCCGCTACATCTAACAGATTTATAGGGTGCATAGAGTAATTCAATGAATATTCATAAAGAGAACACTACTCTTTCCAGAACGTTTCTAAAATTTCAATATAAAGAGGAAGCGAAGGGAGAAAAATAATAAAAAAAAAAGTATAGAATAAAAGTATGTGTCTATCGGAAAATTGTTGATAGGAAAATTTGAAACGGATCCAAAATAATTGGCGATTAAGATTAGGAGCTGTCTATAATTACGCGAATAGCAGATACAATGTATGTTAAGTAATTATATTTTTTTCTTTTTTTTTTGGGAAAAGGAAATTTTGATTGTGACGTACAGTACGTTGAGCCATTTCCTAATGAGATTTCGGTAAGTTGCCAATATTCTTTTAAAAACTTTCACATTGTTTTTACTTGTTTTTTGACTTTTAAAACATTCATGAGATTCTAGAAAACATAAAAAGCAAGGCTAAATAAGAAAGGAAAAATCCCGACAATGAAAATGGATTCAAATAAATTAGCTAAAGTCTCACTCTTCTTGCAAAAGACAAATAAAATTAGTCAGAAGAATTTAAGAGGATAATAAACTATTATTTGCAATTGAAACAGTTTTGTTGGAATCTATTTAAAGATACAAAATCGCAGCGACCATTAGTATACATTACGTCCATTTGAAGAAGAGCAATTTAAAGAAACATCTCTCGACGTGGCATCTTGCAAACCAAACGTTGCACGTTTTAAAACTTTTGTACACCGGAATTATTCATCTAAACAGGGGCCGCAATAATTTCATAGAGTAATAACACTCCGTAATCACAGATTACAAAGCAGAGCAAAATGGCTTTTTATTACAAGTGCCATACTATAATCCTAAATACTGCTTTATCTCAGTCGGCGAAAATGTTGGAATGTTTCCAGAAATAAAATTACACAGATTTTAACAACCGCACGACCGTCCCTTTTAAAAGCTAGGCATTATTACTAAGTGGATGGTAATTATTAACAATACTTCGTCATCTAACACGATCTGGTATTAAACTTAATTGTATAATACGGTGTTAGTGCTGCAAGAACCTTTTCTTTCGCCCATTTAAATTAACCTCTCGAATTTTATTTATATCTATATATATATATAGAGCCTATATATGTAAGAGATTGTGAGAGAATACCGATCCATTTTCTGTCAATCACGATAAAAACTCGGAATTCTGCAAATGTCCCTGTGAGTTGTTGTCTAATAGCTAATTTATCAGAACAAATGCGTTCATTAACGACCTGCCTTTTTATCCCCCCTCTTAGTTTTTTAAGTATTCTCTCTCTCTCTCTCTCTCGCAAGGCTCACTCTATTTAAATAGAAAAACCCTAATTAATTATCTTATTCAATTAGCTTGTTGTTTTGAAATGAGCTTCGATGTTGAAGATGACCCTTTACCAAGGGGAAATAAAGAGAAATTAAAAAAAATCGACCTCGTTTGTTTTAATTCCCTGACTGCTAAGATGAAATAAAGAAAATCATTTTCTTTCTTTCTAGCTTATTTTCTTGGGTGTTTAAGTCTATTGTATTCTTCCCTACCATTTATTTGCCTCTTAAGATGTTTATGTTGTGTTTTTTTATCTCTTTCTTTCTCTTCTTTTATATATATATATATTGAAAATGTTTAACTTTTTGAGCGTTACAAATATTTGTTTGCACGTAAACTTCCTTTTAAAAACGGAGGGAAAAAATTCGGTCACCGTTTGGCAATCGGATTTTGCAGCTAAAAAAACAAAACAGCGATTCTCCATAGAATAGATGGAGCGTGCTATTTTCCCGATTGGAACCACATCAGTGAAGGTCCTATCTCTTTAAACTCTAAGATAGTATGGGACTAGCTATCAGTTAAACATCAAATCCGAATAGTTTCTATCGAATACAATCCTATCGCTTCGAACTGCTACTCGTTTTTTTTTCTTCCCTCCTCCTCCCCCTGTTCTTGGCTCTTTTCTTAGTAACTTGGAAATGCCTTCTCACTACGGAAGGTCACAACAAGACAGAATGACAGTTCTTGGAGCATTCGGTTCTCAAGAAGGAAACCCTTAAAAAAATTGATTGATTCAATCCTACCATTGAATAGAACCACACGACGAAGCGAATTCGAAAGTTCTCTTTAAAATCCCAACTTAGATCGATACAGTAGACGGTCCACAATTACCGAATGGATTCGCCTGTCTTGAGTCGTTGGGATACTTTAGATACCTTCCTACCCCTCTTCAGTATGGTGCGAAAGACTTCAAAGACGTGTTTCTCTTTTCTAAAAGAGGGGGGAATTAAAAAAAGGATGGTTAAAAGAGAATGGTAGAAAAAAAGTGTCCGGAAAATTTCCATTTTCGGTTGAATGTCAGCAGACGATTCAAGCTTTGTAGGCGTCTTGTTGTCGTCGACTACTTTACTCTCAAGCGCTTCTTTTCCGCACAAATCGTCTGATATATCCGGACAAGAGCTCGCCCTCCAAACCTTCTGCAATGTGTGATTAATTGCACTCATTTTCCACACCAACGTTTCTAAGCCCGTGAACGTTTTGTGACTGATGATGTGTGACATACGTGTCCGGACTGGTGACCTCTTACTGCGACCTTTGCCGACCATCACCCAAGTTTACTCGCACAGAAAAGTTTCCTTCTACATCTTAGGGGATTAAAAGAAAGTTCCAGATTGACGAGGGATGAGCTGCTTCCTCTTCAGAAGAATTGCTAACATTTCTTTGTAATTTGAGTCTATGGACACTTCGTTTCTGAGAAATGAGAACATATTATTTAGGAGGTTGCATTCTGTGACAGCCAGCCACTGAACACTAAAATAAAAAATGGCACCGCGCTCTCAATAAATCGTAACCAAACACTAAAGCGGCTATTAAAAATTTCCCATGTTACAAATGAAATAAAGAAAGAATAAAGATAAAAATATCGCACCAGGGCGTGCACGATGTACGTGGTTAGAATTGGCCATTTCTCTCAGTAAATTGGCAACATCAAACTACTTCTCGGTTCACTCTAACACGTGCGTGATAGGCTTCCCTAAAATTCGTGGTCGTCGTTAAATGCGAGTACCGCTACCTCCTTTTCATTGCTCGTATCCTTTAAAAAGATAAAGGGAAAGAGAAAAAAAAACAATCTTTCTAAATATAAAAATTTGTGTCCTCACTTTTTTCATTGTTGGTTGAGGATTTTGAGATTTATGGAAGCTGAAGAAAAAGAGGGAGAAAAATGAGAAAAAGAATTAATTTTCTTTCATAAAATTGAATTATACTTGTCGGCCATCTTGTAAAAATTCCACTTTTCCAAATTCGGATCTCGTATTTATTAATGAGGGTGGTGTAGTCCGTAATTATTATTAAGAGAACTCTCCGCTACATCTAACAGATTTATAGGGTGCATAGAGTAATTCAATGAATATTCATAAAGAGAACACTACTCTTTCCAGAACGTTTCTAAAATTTCAATATAAAGAGGAAGCGAAGGGAGAAAAATAATAAAAAAAAAAGTATAGAATAAAAGTATGTGTCTATCGGAAAATTGTTGATAGGAAAATTTGAAACGGATCCAAAATAATTGGCGATTAAGATTAGGAGCTGTCTATAATTACGCGAATAGCAGATACAATGTATGTTAAGTAATTATATTTTTTTCTTTTTTTTTTGGGAAAAGGAAATTTTGATTGTGACGTACAGTACGTTGAGCCATTTCCTAATGAGATTTCGGTAAGTTGCCAATATTCTTTTAAAAACTTTCACATTGTTTTTACTTGTTTTTTGACTTTTAAAACATTCATGAGATTCTAGAAAACATAAAAAGCAAGGCTAAATAAGAAAGGAAAAATCCCGACAATGAAAATGGATTCAAATAAATTAGCTAAAGTCTCACTCTTCTTGCAAAAGACAAATAAAATTAGTCAGAAGAATTTAAGAGGATAATAAACTATTATTTGCAATTGAAACAGTTTTGTTGGAATCTATTTAAAGATACAAAATCGCAGCGACCATTAGTATACATTACGTCCATTTGAAGAAGAGCAATTTAAAGAAACATCTCTCGACGTGGCATCTTGCAAACCAAACGTTGCACGTTTTAAAACTTTTGTACACCGGAATTATTCATCTAAACAGGGGCCGCAATAATTTCATAGAGTAATAACACTCCGTAATCACAGATTACAAAGCAGAGCAAAATGGCTTTTTATTACAAGTGCCATACTATAATCCTAAATACTGCTTTATCTCAGTCTGCGAAAATGTTGGAATGTTTCCAGAAATAAAATTACACAGATTTTAACAACCGCACGACCGTCCCTTTTAAAAGCTAGGCATTATTACTAAGTGGATGGTAATTATTAACAATACTTCGTCATCTAACACGATCTGGTATTAAACTTAATTGTATAATACGGTGTTAGTGCTGCAAGAACCTTTTCTTTCGCCCATTTAAATTAACCTCTCGAATTTTATTTATATCTATATATATATATATATATAAAAAGTTTGGGGAGAAAGTTAGAGAACGTTTTTTTTTCGATTTTATTCTAATATTTTAAACGAAAACGTGAAATTTCCGAATGCTCACTCGTCCGTGTGCGATAAGAACGTTCTCGGCTTCAACTAAAAGGAAAATCATTTTATTACTAACTCAAATATTGAGTCTTCTCTTTCATTGAACATATCTCTCTCAGACTTTACGCTGTATTATCTGCTTAGTAGAGAAAATATTTTACAGTTTTCAACTTGCCCGTATAATTATATCAATATTCTATTAAACATTATTTCAATCTTTCAAGTGAATAATTGTAGCGTGTATCTGTATATATATATATAACTTATATTATTATTTATCACGTAAATTGTACTACGTCAAACCTATATTAAGGATCTTAAAAATAGTACTTTTAGATTTAAAATTTCTCTCTCGAGTAGATCCAAGATTTATTGCATGTTAGGATCTCACATAAAAGAAACTGACTGTAAGTCGTAATGTTTCTGGACCGAGAATATTTTTGGTGAAAAATGGAGTCGAAAGTACAAAAATCTAGCATTGGCCCTCCAATATCAGATATTTTATTCATATGTAGGAAGTAACGAAATACAAGAGCAAGAGGGGGGAAAGAAAAAATAAAATAACTTCCGGAAATTGGCTATACCAATCATCACACGTTTAATTAAACCAGAGTTTAAATAATTTTTTTTTCTCTTTTTTTAATTTTTTCACTAGCGAAATTAATATTTATAATTGAGTATATAAAGCTTAGAAGGAAGTTAGTTTTGTGGCAAGCGAGTAAAGAAAATTGAGGATGGGGGATGGAGGAAAGAAATGGACTTTGTAAGCTGTTATGACCGAAGCCTGCTAGATCAATTACAGTTCCCTGTAGGCTACATCAGGAGAGGGTAGCAATTTATGAATTGTCCGTCTCTCGTCTGGTATATGTTTGTTGTAAGACTGTTAGATATTTCGCTCTACCTCACTGGAGATTAATCATTTCTGCTACAGTAAAGAAGAAGCTGAATTTTCATACAGGTGTTTATTTCTGGCCATTGCTAAAGTAATGAAATTACTGATCTGCATCTTGTGTTTTTTTTCCTTCTTCTTCTTCTTCTCTCATCCACTTCCTTTATTCTCCGAATTACATAAAGTTTTTTATCGTCTAGTTAAGAATGAGCTATTTTTTACTATATACCGACGAAGCTAATGCTTTTGAATTTAAAGAAAAACTTGTTCATGAATATTTATCAAATACATTTTTGATTTATTATTTCAAACCTAAAGGCGAGATCAATTATTTATTATGTTACTTTTACGGTATACACAAATTTAAACAGAATGAAGTGGAGTTACCCAGAAAACGATAAAGAAAGGAAACTTTTGATAATGTTCGACTAATATATAGAACTGGAATGTTAGTTTTACCTGCTAAAAATAGTAATTTTTTTGCGTGTAAACCTTGTATAATATAGTTCTATGTTAAGTTCCGAGATGGCGTTAGAAGTTTGCTGAAGAGTCCAAGCGGTTCACTCAACAACGATTGCTTGTCTGTTCCCCGGATCCCCTGGAGACAATCGGCCTTGTGAACACAAACGATGCTAACACGATCAATATTTATAAGTGCTTCAGTCATTCTAAAGATCTTTGTTTACAACATCGTTCCAACTTGCCAAATGAAAGTTACTCGGAGCCATAAATGTTGTTCTTTGTGAGAAGAGAGAGAGAGAGAGGGAGAGAGATACATCCCAGAGGGAACTATACGCATTTTTCAATTAATAATCTTTAAGGTTCATTTAATAAAATTTATATTAATGTCGCTTTGCTATCTTTCATTTTAGAATAGTTTTGAAAAGGATTCTTCATTAGAATACTTCCGTCTGAACGAACGTTATGATAATGGATTTGTCGTCTCTCGAATTTAGTCAACCAATTGCTCTATACGCGATCTTCCATCCGGTTAAATGTTATCGAGACGTAAGTTATGTAAATGTAACTCGGTGTTATTGTATACGGCCGCTGATCTCGTACGTAGACACAAAGCATTGTTAAATCACTA